AAATGGAGAGTCACGTTAGACTATCGGTATTTAAATAAATATATATTAGATAATTTATATGTCATCCCACATATGAAACACCTATTTCAAGAGTTTTTCTTTCTTCAAAATAATAAACCACTTTTCATTTTTATATTTATCTAATATACTACTATTTTTATCTATTGTATCGGTATTATTTTCTTCATTTATTTTCATTACAAAATTATTTCCCATATCTTTTAAATTAGAATTTTCTCCTTCTTTTTGGATCTCTTCTAAACAAATATCAATAAATTCGGTTTTATTCAATTTCCATTCCTCTTTTTTATATTCTAGTAATGCATTCATATGTATATCTACCCATGAATTCCAATTACATACATCATTCTCGATTGTTGTTTTATTTCCTAAGTTTTTCATTTCAACTTCACATGTAGATTTTTCCTTATGCGAATTTATTTCATTTGCTTTTTCCTCATTTAATGTGCCATTCCTAATATACCCTACAACATGAACAGGATTTTCTTCTAATCTATTTTTATTTAATTCATCTTTAATTTCATTTGTAGGATTATCTTCATTTAATTTTTCTCTCAATATAAATTCATTTTCATGCTTCTTTGATACTTCTACAGCTTTTTTTTTTTTTTTTTTTTGTGTAAAAATTTTATGCATCTTAAATAACAACTTTTTTGTTAATTTTAAAATAAACTTTTCATTTTTTAGAAAAAAAAAAAAAAAAAAAAATTAACATGTATTACATAAAAATTATAAAAAAAACCCTTTTTTTTTTTTTTTTTTTTTTGTTTGTTTAATATAAAAATAAAAGAATATAATATTTATAATTAAAAATAAACTAAAAATTTTATTTACATATTTAATTTTCCAAACTTTTACTTTTGTATACCAATTTTTTTTTTTTTTTTTTTTGTGTAAAAAATTTTATGCATTTTAAATAACAACATATTTGTTAATTTAAAATGAATGTTTTTTGTATTATTAAGGTAATAAAATAAAATATATAAATAAAAAAAAAAAAGTAATAAAATAAAATAAATCTTTTTGTTATTATCTAAAATAAAGTTAGAATAGAAAATATATATAATAAAATGAGTTAAAGTATTTATTTATATACATATTTAATTTTCCAATTTTTTCTTTATTTTTTATTTTTTTCTTAATATTTTTACATTTTAACTTTAATTTTAATTTTAATTTTTTTTTTTTTTTTTTTTTTTTTTTTTTTTTTTT